CGCGAGGCAGTTTGAACAATGATTACAAGCTGGATCGATGAATCGCGGAGGAAAACGGAGGAAGAAAAAAAAAAAGAAAGAAAGAAAAAAAAGAGGAAGATATACAAAGTGATTGTTGCCAACTCGAAAAAGAGATTCTTTCGGAGAGGCAAACAATTCAATCGTTTTCTTTCACGAACAATTTCTTTTCCAACGAATTCTTTTCCAACAAGCAAAAAAAAAAAAAAAAAAAATATATACCGCTACATGTGGCGAGTAGAATCGTTATACACTGTGTAATTTTAAACGCAATGTCACTTTAATAAGTTGGCAGACGGAGAATTAAGAGGGAAAAAAAAAAAAAAAAAAAAAAAAAAAGAAAGAAAAACACGGAGAGATTTATCAAAAGGTTCGTCGCGGCAGGAAATCCTCGCATCGTTTCCACCTTAGAATTAATTATTCGAATCTCGAGTCGACGATCACGAGCTCGCTATTAAAACGCGGACACGTGTCGGTGTTTCTAACGAAGGTAATTTAGACGTTCGCCTATATCCCTTCTTTGGGCAAGTGAATTCATCACGGTGAAAGGTAAGTTGATGTGCGAAAAGGGTGGTGCACGGTTATTAGAATGCACCCTTTAAGGGATAAAATTGAAACCGAAAGATGTGGAAGGAAAAGAAAAAGGAAAGAAAATAAAAGAAGAAGAAGAAGAAACCGAAAGAGAGGTTTCAGAGTAAAATTTTTTCGACTAACCGAACATTCATCGTTTGAAAAAGGGAGTTTTCGAAATGTTACCATCCCGAGAGGTATGGTTGAAGAAGAAAAAAATGGCGAAACGCGGCCGCGTGTCTGATTAAATGGGAGAGCGTTCTTCTTCCGGCAAAGGTCAGAGGTTAAAAGTTCGGGCAAATGACCCGCGGAAGGGTCAAAGACGTTCAGCATCGAACGGTATTGTACCATATCTCGAAATTTCTTTTTTTATCTGATCTACCATACAAGTATTCATTTAATTATTATCGCTTTAAATTAAATATAATTCAAGCAATCACATTTAGTGTTATTTGTAATTGAGCCAAACCGATCAGTTCATTCTATTTTTTGAAAAATACTTTATTTTTAGAACACAGAAATATATCGTTAGAATTTATAACCATCAATTATTATCGTTCGTGCTATTCGATTTCTAGTAATTTTATTAATCCAATCTAAATTTAATCGTTGAACTCGACGAGACTCGAGGCAGTTAGTAAAAAAAATAAAATTGATTCCGGTTGAAGAAGCATTTAAATTACATAATCTGAGAATAATCTGAGAAAGGAGGATCTGTTGAGCAAAAATTACAAAGTCTTTAGAGTTCTGTTGCGTATTTAGTGATTTTCTTTTTACCGATATGCAATCGACAACGTTTCTGCGAACGACCGCACATCGACGCCTCCGTGTTGTCGAAAGTAGTTAATTTTACACCATCCTATCCCTCGATGTGTCGTGTTGCACGTTTCTCCGATATCGGATCGTTTTATTTTTGCTTCGAACCACGCACGAGGTTGCAGCACTTTTCCCTCCGATATTATCCACGTTCGTTTTGTTTAAAGTAAGATTGCTTTGATCCTTAGATTGTTTTCGGCATAATTTATCCGGAAAGGATAAAAAAATAGGGGAGGTTGAATATTGAAAAATGATGGCAGAGTGTTTCGTTGAAATTGTTGATTATTTTGATGGAAAAATATGGTATTATTGGAATTCCTAAAATAACATTAATAATAAGATTATTACATATCTATCATTCAATTTTGATAAAATCAAAACTTCTTACAAAATAATATATTTTAAAGCTAATAAATAATGAATAATGTAAAAGGAAATACCGTTGAAAAAATTTCCTGAAATAAAATGACAAAAAATTTAAATTTTCTAAAAATAAAAGATATAAATAGTTGGAAGAGATCATTTTAGAGATCTCGAATTCCTCGATAATACTGATTAACGTGTCTTTTCCCACGTAATTTCACTTCCCACGAGTTCAGAAACGACGACAAACAGAATACCTGAAACGAGAATTTCGCATCAATAACAAGATTCGTAAAGGGAAAATTGACTGTTAAAAAGAATTTTTTATAAAACCGTATATCTCTTGAAGCATCCACCCACGAGTATAAATAACAGAGGCACAAACGCACGTAAATGAAGTCTTCTTCAAACTGCAATCAAACATCAAACACTGCACGTTCTTTTTTGCTTGTGAAAAGATCTGTGAAATTTTACGTATCGTTTCACTTTTGAACATGGCCATGAAAAATAGATTTTTGAAGGTAATCACAAATAAATATTTGATTTCTTTAATTAATAATAATTATTTAAAATAATTCGAATGTATGTTTCAACATTTATCTTATTTATTAAAAAATCGTATTTTGGATCGTATCTTATTTAAGAAACTTATCTCAAAATAATGTTTCTACGAATTAATATTAATATACGTATATTTCAAATATTATTTCTTTACGTAAATATCACTTCAAAGAAAAGTTTTTTTGCAAAATCCTGTATCATTCGAAAAATATATAAAGATATTTATTCTATTTCAAAAATCTTTTCTTTCTTCCTTTTTTCTCTTTTTCTTTCTCACAAGAAGTTCTTGCCAATACTAATACCATATCGATATCGATATGGAAATATTATATAATTTATTTCAAATTTTCCTCAAGTCTTCCTTTAAAATACCAAATAAACGTATTATCTTGAAATACAACGGAAAGAAAGAAAAAGATGATTAATCAAATAATAAAGGAATCGATAACGTGAATTATCGAGCTTGCGACGGATATTCCGTTGGGTGCTGTATTTAAATAGAACTACGTAAGTTGAATTGCAGATGGGTAGAAAAGCTCTGAAAGCTGGCGATGCAATCGTAAACCGTGCGGAGCTCGGTCATAAATATTCTCTACATTATTAACCGTCTAGGAAGAGGGATAGTTGGGGGAGAGACCGGATGATAGAACCGTTACTCGTGAAATTGCGAAAATTATAGGAAATGTATTATCGTATTTTCACCCTCGGTTGATTGGAACCTCTTAACCGCGAACAGACGTTGAGTATTAAATTAATCAGCGATTATTATCTCGCGTTTCTCGATCGAATTGAGAGTTTTTTTTTTTTAAGCGAAAAGAATATGAAATAGGATGTTGAGGACGTGAAGAAAAATTCATTTATGGCAGAGATTATTGGTATTTATACCGGACAATAGAGATATTTTCCTTCCTTTTTTTCTTGAAATTGTTTTAAAATTGTTTGTAAATTAAGATATTTAAATAGAAGCAATTGAAGAAATTATTTATTTAAAATGTTTTAATATTCGTTGTTTTGCTTGTTAGCAGAATTTAATTTTTTGAAATTGTATAATCTATATATATATATATAAATATTTGTTTAAATACGATAAAACAAATTGAAACGAAAGAAAAAAATTTAGAAAACATACAATAGATAAAAAAAAATAACATCATTGTATTTAATGCTAATAAGATATAAAAACCAATAAAAATATTCTTCGTTGAAAAATAAGAAATGCAAATAAAGAATTGAACCAGCTAATCTAATAATTTTTCAAATCTATTCAATAAATTATCGAATATGTGTTAGAAAGCAAACGTTGTATGAAAATAATAAAATCTTTGTTCATTTGGGCGAAATGAAATTCTAAATATGCGGATAAAACTAAGGAAGAAGGTATGCAGCAAATGTTCTGACCGATCTTAGCTTGACACAGAATTGCAAATATTTCAAGAACTCGTACGACTGGCTCCTGAATAGAAACGAAGAGCGTCGTCGGAGCTCGACGACCTCATCCAAGACGAAAATTCACCCCGGAACGAAAAGCTAATCGATACGAAATTTCAATCTTCCCTGTTTGGACGCGTCTTCCCCCTTTCTCTGTTTGCCACACTTCCGTTCCACTGTGTTCGACTGTTATCCCCCTAGTTGGACGACCGGATGCCATTGCTGACTACGGATCAAATAGATGGATGTCCGGAATTGATTTATCGGAGTGGTTTTTAGTGACGATTTTCTTAATTCTTTTATTTTTTTTTTCTTTTTGGACGAATTTTCAGATGGTAGTTTGTAAGATATTTCATTCTTCGATGCTAGTGATGATTTATAATAAGCTTATCGATAAATTTTGGCGAATAAGAAGCTGTAAATAAAAATCTATTTGTTTTTATATTAATTATTATTATTTTTCTACTTCTTTTAATAATATTCTAATAATAATTGAAAAATTAAAAAATTACAAAATAAATGAAATATTGTAGAAGAAATATGCTAAATATAAATGAAAGGAGATACGTAAAAATAATGATCTGACTTACCTTAATCTAAAATCGATAGTAGATTTACATTCACTAAAATTAAATTTGCATAAAAATCCACCATCCAGTGGCATCGTAAACAAAATTTCTATCATAAAATTTATAATTCAGCACTTCTCCATCTAAGATAAGAAATTTACTCGATATATCTATCGAATAAAGCTCTATATATCTCTAGATCCCGCATTCCTCGGATTACTTCTGCGAATACCAGCTCTATTTAACCAAAAATCGATATTTTGCAATCTTTTTATACGACAGAGACTGGATATTCGACGAGCAACTTGCAATATTAAAACCACTACCTCTTTCCTTTCGCTTCTAATATTCCTTCGCCATCGCCAGACGCACACTTGTTCCATTGATCGCAATAAATCTCTAAAGATTGGAACCCTATATATATATATACTACCAGTCTGCACATTCTTATATTCGTTATAGAGACGGTATCCCTCTTTCAAGTTTCAAGAAAATTCGAGTCTGACTTAGACAAGGGGCCAAGAACCTCGAAGTTGTAGTGGCGCAGTATTCACGGTTCTCAACGCGCGACAAACACGTTGCACGTGCATAAAACAGCTCGACTGCGCCCATAACACACGCTAGAGCGGATGCATCGAAAAATACCATGTGAGATTTATTTATAGCCGTTCATACTTAATTTAACTCGGTCTCCTGCTGCAGGGAAAACGTCCAAGCCGATAAAAAAGATCGTAGAAATCCGTTATCGTGGCTATTCCAAGCCCCATTGTGCTTTGTGCATCGATAGCTGTGCATGCTTCGAGAGCCACCGAGATCCAGGAAGATCCTGAAATTAAATCATTACTGTAGTTTGATTATTTTCTTTTGTATTTTTTTCTTTTTTATATTATAAACATATATTTATTTTATTTTTAGAAATAAAATAGTACTATTTATTTTTCTAATATAATTTTCCTATATTTTTTTATAATATTTTTAAATATTTTTATTTCACTGGTATTAGGTGTATCTTGTTTTGAATATTTACTTGTTTTATTTGTATTATTGATCATCCATCTTATTATATTAAACATGTTTTTCTTTGAAATAAAGGTAATTGTGATTTATCTTCTTGAATTTTTTGTTATTAACGTGGTATTTATATATGATGTTTTCAAAAGTTTTGCTTTGTTTTGCTTGATTATTGATCGTGCCTTTCTTTTATTATTATTATGGGTTCTTTTATCATGTTATAAGGAACCGCAATAATTTTGTTTTTTTATTTTTAAAATTTCATATTGATCCAATATTTATACGTATAATATTATAATATTTTTATCATATATTTTTATTATCGTGTTTAATATCTTTTTTTCGAGATATTTATTCGTTTTATTTATAGTTTATCACATTTTTTGCTACATGAAACGTGTGCTTTTTAAATGCATCGCAATTTTTCGGAATATTTATTTTCACGTTATTTTAATAGATACCTTCTATTGTATCCAATATTTATTTTTCTGACTATTTATTCTTTATATATTATTCTTTTTATTAATATTATTTGTTATTTATGCGTTTTTATTTCGGTGTTATTGAAATTTTTTAATTTTCAAAAAAAAAAGTGAATTGCTGCAAACATTTGAAATAAAGTTTATTAACACAATATTTTTTTTTCCGAATTATTCTTGTTAAAGTATTTTATACAAAGTTCAAACTATATTTGATTGATTTTATTAACACGTAAAAATGAAATAGATGTAAAATATATTGAAATATTAATGAGAAACTGTCGATAATTTATTTGACTTTGCCTTTGGATTTTGACTATGAAAATGGGTCAGATAGGGAGAGAATAATTAATGTTCACATTTAACGTTCCTTTACGACATACTTTTAGACGTACAATTGGGAATAACCTCGTCTAAAATTGCAATACATTTCATGCCATTTTACACAGTTTTATTAACCGTAAATCTCGCATTCTTATCTCGCAATAAATCATTGTATAATCTGAATTTAGATCCAATTCCGTTTCAACTTTGATACGAAATTCAAAATTTTTATGAAAATACGAATCGTACGATCTTTCGTTATAATATATTGCAACGAAGGAATATTTTTTTTAAAACAAAAATACGTGAAATATTTCCTTTTATTTTTTATATGTACTCTTTGTATCAAAACTTTAATATGTCTGTATGCAGATAGATGGATTATGGAATATGAATGTATGGAATGAAATGAAACAGAGATGAAATGAATATGAAATTATGGAAAATGACATGAAAGAAGTGAAGTGAAATGGAAATAGAAAATAATATGAAATAAAATGAATTTCATGAAAAAAAATAAAGAGAAACATAATTGTGAACAGTTTTTAAACGCATAAAATACTGAACTAATTGAGATGAATGGAATTCTGTGGAAAAAATAGATTTATTCTTTTCCATTTTATTTATATTATATTTATAAATTACGCACAGATAATTTGTATGATATTTTGTATGATAATTTTAATTTTTTTCTTTTAAACGAAATTTAATTTTATTTACATTTATATTTCACGTATTTATCTTTCATTTACAATGCAAAGTATGAAACAACTGAGTGGAGTGTATCTCTCATACATAACATATACACGTATATTTTCCATTTAACATTGAGACAACTAAATTATTTGACCGAGTAGATAAAGCCCATTAAGAATCCTTACAAGCAAATATAATATTATATTTTAAACTAAAACTATTGATTTTAGAATCTAAGAAACAGTCTGAAATATTTTAAGGATATTTATAATAATCTAAATGGAATACAAAACGTTTGATCAATAAATAAATCTTAAAAATTCTCTTTTCCACATTATATTTTTGACAATTAAGAATGGCCAATTAAAAATTTATTAGACGATTATACATATTCCCTCTTTCATAAACAATCTGGATCGAATAATCAAGAATTTTATGAATACGATTTTTATAATATCTCGTATCGTTTAATCTCTTTTCAATTATTTTCAATTTTTTTTCTTTTTTTTTTTATACACACGAAATCGTTCGCGTGTGGAGAAAATTTTCACGGCCTCGAATCGTATCGCGCGTAAATACAAGAAGGCCGATGTAGGCCAGAGACGACGAGCACCTCTAAACTGGGCCACAGTGCGTCGGCCTCGCGTCTAGAAATACCATTGCCGATCGTTCGAAACGAGCAAAAAGCACTCCCGATTAAAATTATTCAGGGCTAGCCATTCTGAAATTCGCGAAACAACTCTCTATCCTCGATACCTTGTACAAAAAATGTACAAGGATGCTAAGTTTCTCGGGGCAAAGGTCTCCGCCCCAAGTTGGTATCACGTGTTCCGGAGTGGTGATCAATATCAAGTTTATCTTCCGTACAAGAGTTTCAAATTGAATAGGTTAATTAATTCTCGAGTACACTTTGTGCTCGTTTTTTTTTTCTTTAAATAAAATGCAGGCCATGCAGGATGAATGTTAATTTTTAATTCTGAGAAACGTAAATATTTTTTTTAAATTTTGTTCAATTGATTCGCGAAATGATCGATATGTTTCACAAATATAAAATGTGAAATTAAACGATCCAATGTGTAAATAATATTTGAATAATAATAATATTTGAATAATAATTAATTTAAATAATAATAATATAAATTTATTTGTTGTAAATATATTTGTTATATTTGTTGTTTGGATAAAAAAATTTTTTGATAATGAATTGTAAAAATAAATTCAGATTTTCTTGTGTAGAATTCAATACAAAGGTTGCTGATAATTTTATTATAATTTTAATATCCGCACAAGTATATATAAATTGTTTAATAGAAACGTACATAAATTTTGATTTCAATTTGAAAATTTATTAAATAAGAAATTTAAAAATGATAATTTTCTAACTTCAGAAATTTTTGCAAAACGTAATCTCGCGGTCTCATTTCCGAGAAATGATCACGATGAGATATTTCAAAGATAATTTTAAGCTTGATAATAAATTGAAATATAACTTAAGCCAAAAAAATAAATATTAGTTTCTAGTAACAATATCAGAATCGATGAATTATTATACGTTTCTATTATACTTAAAAACATTAAATAAATTGATGATGTAATAACAATGGTTTAATAATTAAATCGATGGCAATCATTTATCATATTTTCATTAATATGAAATAATCGAATTTGTAATTAATGTTCTCGTTACTCGAGTAAACATATCTGTAATACGATTTTTAAAGCAATTCTGCAATTTAAATATTGGAATTTTTTTCAAAATCATTATATTTTTTTTTAAAAATCCCCATTAAAATTCCCATTAAAAGTATTATATAATACAATTCATCTTGTTAATTTCACCACGAAATTAGGAAGATGTTTCAAGAAGTCTTCCAATATTTTAATATCGAAATGTTTCTTTCCAATTATATCTCTAAAGTGTAAGAAAATTAAAAAAATAAAAGAAAAGAGCAGCGATCTAAATTCGTGAAGTGAATTTGGATCGTTCTAATAATATCACAGTCGATAAAATTTTCAATGTTCTAGGACAGAAACGAGATTAAATAAATTTTTACGGCTCAAGAACTGTCGCGAGGAAGTACCAGTGTAAAGTATCGCTGAAACTTTCTCCCCCCTTTCTCTACTCTTACGTTTGTTCTTCGAAACTTCCAATTGCGTTTACCGGAGAAAAAAATGAATGGGAGAAGACATATCCGGGTAAGCTTTCGAACTCTCTCGAAAACTTCCGCCATCTGACTTGTACCTTCAACCCTTCTGGGACTGAAGAAACACACAATATAATAGAAAAGTTGGTCCAGATCGGAATACCTTGCCACGCTTTTATAATTCTATCTCTCCGATTCAGTTTTCTTCTTGTCATATAAAAATGAGAACTCAATGGGGAAAAGGATTTAAATTTTCTTGGATTATTTCTTTCGACAGTCAAAACAGCCAATATTATTTGAGAATCGTTGTTCGAAATGATTGAAGAAAGAATGCCACGTAAAAATTTTGATTACATAATTTAAAGTTTAATTTTAATTTAATTTCAATTCGGATAGTTAGAATTAAAATGACAATTTTCAGTTCAGAAATTATTTAACTATGTTAATTAAGAAGTTGCACGTAAATTGTAGGAAAAAATTAATTGAAGTGAATTTTTAATGAATTTTAAAATCCATTGAAGGATTTAATATGGCAAAATTTTTTTTTGTATTAATTATACTAATTATTTCTAAAATAATTTTTCTATTTATTACCTACCTTTTCTATTATTATTAAAATTACCTCGAAGCTGCAATTACAACTCTTCAACAATAATACTTCCCTCTAGTATCTTTCACACCCCTTCGCCTTAAAAATACAATTTCTCGTGTACAATGTCATCAAAACAAAAATAATCTCCCCAGGCAAGGTAAAAATATATCGTTTCTACGCAAAGAACAATTCCCTTATGCGTGATAAATCTATCAACATTCACCCCACACGTTCAACCGGAAGAGGCAAAAGCATTACTCTCTTCTGCGTTATATCCTACAATAACAAAACGCCCTTCTGAAATTTTCCAAACTTCACATACCCTCGACGACGTAACACCATCAATTTCACTTGTAAAACCATCAGCTTACTCTTACAATCAACAACTTTGATGACATCGAGCGGAAAACTGAAAAATACAATATATATAGGGTTATTCAAGAACGGATGATACGAATGGATGATTGTATATATGCAAAAATGAATCGAAAAGGCTCTTCTTTATTACCCCTTTTTTTCGCAGAAATCTTTATACATCTTATGTATCTCAATTAATAATTTGTTATCAAAACGAATAATAAACTCTGTGTTCTCTGTGTTGTTTACACACGTATAAAACAAATTTTAAAAAAATATCACTTCGATGAAACCGATTCTTACTTCTTACAGATTCAATATAATTTCAATCTTCTTCTTCTATATATTTTACATTATCGTAATATAAGATAGCATACAGGTGAAAATTTTAAATATATATACTGTCATCTCGTTAAATAAAAAATATTTTCAATATCCAAGATATAAGACAGTTCTTCCCATAAAGCTAAACGAAAATCAACTCGACGAGAATTGATTTTGGAACGGAATAATTTATCGATTCACGCGTGTTCATCTTTCGGCTGACATTGACGAAATGGAATTAAGGGAAGGTAGGTTAATTCGTGCGAGTAGTCAAGAAGAGCAATCATTGCCGTCTGTCACTTTTTCCGCTTTCGACCGTTCCACCCTCTCACTCAGTGCGTATGCCAGGTCGTTGATCTTCGCTTCGAGGAAGCGTGCACGCGGCCTTCGCGTCCTTGACAGTGGAGTGCACGAGCCAATCGAGGGCAGTTTAAGCGATTTTCATTTCGATATCTTTTTTACCCTTGTGATTCAAGAAATTCGCGAGTAAATTTTTTTTTTTGCCATAGATTGTACGCTATTGATAAATCTGATCGCTTGAAAGATTTAAATTGTGATCCTTTTGGAATTTCAGATATTGCAAAGTTGTTTTGACGATTAATTTTCTCCTTGTTTTTCTAATTATTCGAAAGTTTCAATGATAATTTGACTGATTTGATGAAATAATTATTGAAAATTTACAATTTAAAAAGAAAAAGATTTATAATTATAAAGAAATAATTTCTTTGTAATTATAAATTGATTTTGTTTAATTAATTCTTGTTATTTTATATTTAGAATATTTGAATATTTAAATGATAACAATCAGTTAGAAGATCTTCACAAATCTACAAACTTTTGAGATAGTATACGTCATAAAGTAAATCATGATTAGATCCAATTTCACGTCCATGAAATACCAGAATGATTGATAACCCATTAAGGCTCTTATCTAAGTTCTTGACATACCAAATGATCAATAGATCATTGTAATTGGCATGTAAATGTATTTCTAGATTCACGTTTGTTCCATTGTTTTCACTATTTACTTTAATTTCTACAAAATTTTTAAATAACCAAAAGATCATTTCCAATCTACATTCAATCCACATAAATATTCATCCTTTATATTTATTATTCATGAATTCATATATTTATTTATTCATGAATTCTCAGACCTGTAAAACGCGAATGATGAAAATTTCTTTTTCATACAACTAAAAAAAAAAAAATAATTAATTCGAAAGAACTTATCTTAAAAGAATATATATAAAATATTTTTATCAAATACCAATAAATCCAAATCCTCAAAATATTTTTCCATTAAGGATATTTTAATTATTACTTTGCATATCCTTTTTTTGAAATCTTATTATCTATTAATAACAAAAATAATGCATACGTAAATATAAACTGAAATAAATCTCCACGAAACTTTCAAGTGTTGATAAAAAACAAAAAAAAAAAAGAAAGAAACGAAATCTTCAGAAAAACTTCATCCACTAGAGCCTCTAGTCCAGAAGCTTCTTACGTTATTTAATCGGATAGCGGGGAAACTCCCTTTCCTTCAACGTTCGATAAATCATTTTAAGTTGTACCTAAACTCTCTTCAATCCACGAGGCATCGAAGCACTTAAGATAAAATGGACGTTCGATCAATATGGATCGGTTATCGCTGCTTAAACCATCAACCAAGCTAGCCACCCGTCAAACGAGCGTCGTATCGGGTTTAAACTTTGATCACCCATCTCGACAGCAGTTTCGGAAATTGCATAACATGCCCTTGTCTCTCTTCCTTCTCCTCAAATGTAAATTACACACGTGCGCACAAATGCACAAACGTTTAAGACACGTTGTCATATGCATCACGTTGAAGCGTGAAAGAGAAATTGGACAAAGTGTTCCCGGCGTCGACGCACCCCGAACCAGATGCACGTTTGTATGCAGGATTTAGCTCTCTTTGCAACTCCGGACTCTTTGGTGTCGCCAAAATGAACAACCCTTTAATTATTGCACGATGAAAAGAGCCACGTTTCATTTGTTTGGCTTTTAAACGCGATTACCGGTTAATCCCTTACTGCGAATCGAGGAAACGATTTAATTGCCTTGCACTCGGGTATTTCCAAGTTTATTTCAGGCTTCGATACTCTCGTTCTATTACTACCTACCTGAAAAAGAAATAAAATGTATTAGATTGAGAAAATTATGCCTTTCGATTCGAACGAATTTCTCATCGAATGAAATGAAATTAAAAAGTACAATGAATTATTATAATAATAGTTTTATAATATTTATACATAGTTTAAATAATTTCATCATTTGTTTCGATAATTTTGTTAATGGATATTATATAATTACGTATATACATACTACAGGATGTGGTGAGGATTTATTGGAATGCTTCGAAATAAATCGATGGTTTGAATTGTTCTATTATATCGAATTGTAAATACATCGAGAAATTAATTGCAATTTTAAATGATACATTTATGTATTTATGTATCCATCTTGAAATGAAAAAATTATTTGTCTTGAAATGAAAAAAAGTTTTTATTATTTTTCGACAAGATATGTCTAGATTTTAAATTAAACCAAGTAATATGTATATTGCTTCTTCATTCGAGAATAACAAAATATTATTCATGGATTTTCAATTTATTTTACGAATTTTCAATATTTATTTAACATTCGATGTGAATTATTTCATTATTCAACTTAAATTTTGCATAATTCGTCCGGATATAATTTCACGTATCTGATATTAACCTTATACGCTATATCTGCATAATCAAAGATAATGAAAAAGGTATTCCATTATCTGCATGTAATATTCTATATTGTATCTATTATATCTATATATATTTTTTTTCACTGTATTTTTATTATCTTTCTTTTGACTGATGAAATTGAAATCAATCATATTGTCCTTTTTCTCCATTCGAAATTCATTCCAAAATTCCAAATTTCCATTGCCATTTCAAAATATATTTCATAATAGTTTCAAAAGATTTCAAATTTACGTAACGAAGTCACAATGTAGGATGCAGGAATGGCAAAAAGTTAGAAAGGAACAACACGTTAAATCACTTTGGGGAACTTGGAACGAAATGGACGTTAATTTCCACTTGACTCTCGAACTCGTCTCTAATTAAATCCACTTTAACCCGAATCATTTAGCCGTCGCAACAGTTAGAAGTCACTCGAAGGCCGGACAACCTCTTTTCCGGAAGACTCGATCGCAAAGCGTTGCGAATTTCGGGGCCAAAGTTCCTCCTGTTGGCATTTCCAGCCGAGGAACCAGAGCAAACAGAGGAATTTCCTCTCTCTCTCTCTTTTTGTCTTTCCTTTTCTCCTCTCTTTTCGTTCCCCGCGAAGAAACACGAAAGTTTTCTCGTGCTTTCGAGGCATAGTTACGAAACTCGATGATTTCTGAGTAGATGGAATAATAAAGAAACCTTATACATTCAAATGTTCAAATATTACTTGCATTCTTCTCATGAATGGTAAAGTATTTGGAGAAACTGAAAAAGAAGAAATGTTCCATGGTTAGATTTTTATGTATGTATATTAATTTTCAATATTTTATTTCTATTCTTTAGATTTTTCTATTCTTTATACCTATTTTTTATATATTTTTTTGTAAAAATCTCAATGTTCAAATATTTTTGTAATTAATATTCATAATTTGATCATATAAATTTTTTAAATAATACTGTTCATATGTAACCATTTAAAAGTCTTAAGATATTTCTATTGATAATTTTAATAATTAAAATAACAATTAAAATTAAAAACCATTTTCATAAAACAAATCAAAGTTTTATTAATATTATGATTACTGGTTCCACATGATTATTAATACCCAATATACTTAAACAAATAAGTACATTGAATTATCAATAATTAATAAATCTATACTCAAATATTCGAATACTTATACCAATCATCACAAAATCTTCCAAGACTTTTAATTAAGAATACATTGAACAAAAGCTTCGTATCACAATCCCAATATGTACACGTATTTTCCGACAAAAAGGGGCGATGAAAAAACAACTAACCCCCACTCAGAATTTCGACGTACATTTTTATCCACTGTGATAACGATTCGAGTATCTTTTGGACGCGATTCAACGTGTCGTAAGAAGCATCGAGGGATCGATCCATTGATGGGAAAGAAAGAACTCGGAAAGATCCCGATCTTTTCCTTTCTTTGACAGGTTGCCTCGGACGTTGAAAGGTGGGGACAGGATGGCAGGAAGGAGCCGGGAACCTCGGCCAGATCCTGAACGACAGTGTTCATCCCTCGTGAATCGTCGCGACGTGCGGAGCTGGTCTTCGTTCGATTAAAGGGGAGGATTGGAAGGACGAAGGGTGGAGAGGGGTGGCGTCGCGAGCGGCGTGATCGAGATGAGCGATCTACAGGCCACACTCGAGTTCTCCCTCGAGCTTTGCAAGTTCTACAATGTCGACCTGTTCCAGCGTGGGTAAGCGGATCCTCCTCCTCCTCCTTCTCCTCCTCCCTTTCCCTCTTCTCCGAGGGAGGGAGAGAGAAGGGGAGACGGTGATTTTCGTATAGCCGGCTGGATCGCGTAATTGCAACGGCTTATACCCTCCCCCAGGATTATCGACGATTTCCCAATTTCGCAGGTATTACCAGATACGAACCGCCCTCAGAGTGTCGCCGAAACTGCCTGTCAAGGTGGAGGTTAACCAGCTGCGGAACCGTGAGTACACCCCCTTTTGAATTTTCTGTTCCATCGAAAGGGGAGGGAAGAGATAGCGTGGTTTGAGATAAGGGTGAGAGGTGAAATAATTTAGAGATTTTACCGTAGATAGATTCTCTAATGTAATTTTTGCTTAAATTTGTTGGGGGGAAGGAAATGATAAATGTTTATCGTTCTGAATAATTTTTAAGGGTATTTCTTTTTTTTATTCATGAAATATTAGAGGGTTTTGAAAAAAGTAATAGAGAAAATAGCTATTTTTATTTTTATTTTTATTTTGAAATAAAAACGGATCTGGTTTTTTCAGTGAAAAAATATAATGTTTCGAATGATGAATAAAAAAGAAATACTCTTAAAAAAATACTCTCGCGAATAAATATAGAAGTGTTATTCGTTATTGGAAGAAACTCTGCAACGAATAAGTCTCAAAGATAAATGGCACTGCTTTACATTCATGAGATAAAGAGAATTCTTTTTCGAGATAGCACACATTCGTAACTCGCACGAATAAAAATTCATTCAGGCAAGAAATTATTCTTCGATGACGTCGTTTCATTCTCAGTTTTATATATGCTATGCATAAAAAAAAAGTTTTCATTACAATATTATTCAAACGTTATTTTATTTCAAAAAAAGTTTATTTGCAATTTTTAATCAAAAAAATTGTTCAAACACGATCGATTAAAAAAAAAAAAAACTTCCTCTCCAATTTTAGAACATTTCATTCAAATAAACTACGCTCCATTAACACCACCTACGCGCCCATATTTCCCAAAAACCAACAATCATCGTTTCACCTCCCCTTCCCGCTCGTAAGAATCAAACAATCAATGGTAACCGAGTTTCCACAAATTACCACCCCTTTCCCGGTGGCGACGCGTGTCCACCGATTCAAAGAACTTTCTCGCATCCGCCCCCGGAGGTGGAAACTTTCGCGTCACCGGCGGTTCCAGAAAACT